GATATTCCGGCAGTTGCAATTACGCAGCTTGTAGGAAAAGAGTATTTTCAGCCCTGTTAGATTGAAGCCTTTCTGGAACTCCCAGAGACATTGTGGGTCATCCTACAGTGTTGACACATCCATCTCTGCCATCACAGTCTCCACAGCGGCGCTCAGCAATCAGCGTGTTCTGGACAAGGCCAGGCATGAAAATCAGGCATGGAATGTTACGCAAGGCTGTCAAGTGCGCTGCTGATAAGATTTTCACTGGGTCGTGATTGCTTCCGTGGGGATGTTGCAGGAAGGGATCCATCTTTCTTTCCCTGCTTGATAAGAGGGTGGTTGGAAATTCGTGCTTGGCAACACAAACTTGATTTTATGAATGACAACCCCAAATTGGATGATGGTAAAGCTACATCAATTTGGTTTGTCTGTTCTCAGACTAATTCCAAACCTCAAGTTTAACAGAGCCTTGCAGAACTTTTGTACCTTCGTACAGATGATTTTCAGGGAGTGAATTATTAGTCAGATGCAAATTTCCTCCTATCCCTCAGCTTTCAAGTTGGTCTCTACATTTTTACTTTAAACTGTCTGAGAACCAATTGCAAGGAAATGATTTACTTTGGCCTTACTTACAACTGGCAGAATTGACTTTAGGGTTTGACAGGCACCCAACCATGTGGACTAGTCAGATTGATCTTGAAAACCCATCATGGCGATATTATCTTTGGATGTCAGTCAGCCGTTTACCCATGGACTTGGAAAAATGTTATCAAAATCAGCAGTTTTGCATATTTCATTCTTGTACCAGAATTACATGTTCCATAGCAGGGATCTATTGGGTAACAAGTCAGCTATCACAATGGAATAACATTTGACAATGAATTTCTTTCATCAATAATTATTATTGTTCCTTATCAGCTTGAAGACAACTGGTTTACAAGGAAGCCCTTCGTACAATCATAAAAAATCAAATCAAGATTCAAGTCTAAGATAAGAATGTAATTACAAACACATGAGATACAAATTAAGATTATATCAACAAGAAGGAGGCTTCATGAGTGAGTTATTGGTAGAGAAAGGTAAACAAGGTGAGTCTTACTCTTCGATGGCAATATCATATTCCCAAGTCAGTAGTTAGGGTATCATACTCAATGTTCTATTCACAAGGGAATCAAGCATGAATGATTTTGCCCACAATTGTACAATACAGTTTCAAACCCAAGTGCTGCACATATCACTAGTAGGTGCAACTTAATTTAACATATTACTCTAAACTATTAAGTAAGAAAGTCTGGAATGTATCATATTCTGAGAAAATATTTGGAGCAAAACTCTCTAAAACTTTTTTGGTATTCATGATCACAAGGAAATCAAACACGAGAGGCAATATTTTGCCTGTAGGTGTACTTTCAGATATGAAACCCTTGCTGCACCTATCAGTAATGTTGGCAGAAATTGAATGAATGATTGAACGTACAGTTGTATTTCCATAAATTTTAAAGTAGAGCAGAGTGGCAGCTAATCACAAAGGTGATGCGTTTCATCCCTCGTTAATTAGGTGCTTCCCCGTGCCTTAATTAAGGTCGATCCGAGTCACAGAATGATGAATAGTTGAGCCTTTGGGAGCAAATGATTGGATTCTGATAAAGGCACATCCTTATACAGTGACAGGTTTGATGTTACTGGACATCAAACATGGCACAAGCACGATACAACACATCAACTAAAAAATGCACAGTGTTATACAACATAGCACAGAAATGTACACAGCATGACACAACGAAAAGTGCCTGATGCACAATAAATTGTTTGAATGATGTGACCCTTTTCTCTAAATGGGACTAGAATGTCACATTTTATGTGTAAAACATTGGCTGAAACCATGACCCTATGGCAGAAGGGTCAGGTCTGTGCACAGAAGGTCAAGAATGTTAAATTGTTGCCTCCACTCTTGCTTTAATGGCTGTGGAATGTCCTGATGGTTCTGACTGGGAAAATGACTGTAGTATAATTCATAACAGTTTGAGACTTGGAATAGAGGGTAAGGTTAATTGAAAATGTGAACACAGTCACAATGATCCATATCATGTATAATTAGACTCAAGTAGATGGATGATGCTGCTAGCTTGGTATAAATGACAACTGTTGCTCAGGTTTACTGGTTTTTAGTTTTCTCCTCACTCACAGCAAACAATACCTAGTTATCACACGCACATGTACAGGTTTGAACAAGACAATCAGAGATTTCAGGCTTCATACCTTTATCCAACCTGCTTGGCAAGCAACCCTTCTGGTCCTTTAGACATAAATAGCAACACTGAACATACAGAACATGTATAAATTACATGTATGGCCAATACAGATGCACAGTGTCTCACAAACTCCAAACAATACTGTACAGTACTTTCTTGCAATTACATGGAATTTTACACCAAGGAAAAAGTTCTCTGTGTGTTGGTGTTACAAATGAATGTCTATCGTTTGGTTCTTATCGAAGTCATCCATCAGTTGAAGTTGTTATTGGTTCTGAATGTGAATGGCTCTTGTCTGCTTTTATCAGGACATTGAACACTCTGGTAAGTTATTGACCAATATGTGAACTGTTGCAGGGATGGTTTTGGCTACACTTGATTTGTCTTCCAAGTCATGAGTACATGTTGATGATGTGTTGCTGTGGTGATGTTGATGGCTTGGGATATTGGTTATGTCTACCTGTTTGTATCAAGGGCTCAAGATGCTGTGTTTATAAATTTTTGCTATAACGTATAAGTGATGCATGATTAACAAGCCAGTGTTCTTTTCATTTGCCATATTAGAGTTGATACAAATTTTTTCTGCAATATCAAAAGTTATCGTGAAAATTGCAGGTTACAGGTCACATAGATTATGCTCATTATATGTTCCTTTATCCATTCCCTTTCTGGTCATGAGAGTAGTTTTATTTGGCTGCATATCATTTCCCTTCCAAGGTCTGTGGACAGAACTTAGAACTTTATTGCACAACAGATGTAACAGGTACATCGTATGGTAAAATATACATACATAGTTGATGATGCTAACAATATCATTGAGACATTTCTAACTGTTCTAAGGAGCTGATCTACTTTTATATATAACAATAAAGACACTGCATGCTGATGATGTGTTGTTGGGAGTTTGATTGGCACAGATGACGGCTATGTCTGACCCATATATATCACATACCTGCCTGCAGTGCTCATCACTCCCCTCCTGTGTGATTGATTCAGGTCAAACAGATCAAATCATGCAATTAGGAATGACCTTTGACCATGGAAGCCCTTTTCATTCTTTCCTGATTATTAGTTCCTGCTTATTATTTGGAGAGGGGTTAGTTCTAATGGTAACACAGATATTGGCCTTATTTTGGATCCTAAGTAGATCCCTGGAAGCAGGATTGTTGCAGCAGACATGAGGTGATATTTCATCTGAGGAATATTGATTATTTGCGCATGGAGGAGGCAGCTGCAGTGTGATGGGTGTGCAGTACATCTTAATTGACAAGTTTTGAACACACCTTGGATATGGCATTAATATATAAATTAAGGTCACTATATGGCAGACATGACACTGTTCTAAAATTCCTATATTCAGCTTTTATTGTGACCTTGATGTCATAAATGAAGGTCATAGATACATATATGGCAGACCTGACATGTGGTTCTAATGCCACAAACACTAAGAATGCATCAGTAGATTTGACATTGAAGACATGAACGAAGGTCACAATCATACCCGAAGCTGTGTTTTGTTGCTCTAAATCTGCGGAATGCAACATTGAATGTGACATTGGGGATATACGTGAAGGGTGTACAGAGCCTGCCAAACTGTTTGGATGACTAAATCCCTCCCCCATCTCCACCCAGATGCACCTAATCTCATCTACTGGCTTACACTTGCCGGCAATAATGTCATCTGCAGAGTTCATCTTCAGCTACAGCACGATTTTCTGCTGCTTTGAAGAAGAAATTAGGTTGATCACCAACATCAAACAAAGCCCTGAAAAGCACTTAGCGCCGTTACACGCTCTACTTACGTACTACATGTGATAGCTATTCTATTTATCTCTTTCATTTCTTTTAGAAGTCTACATGAGAGAGCTAGATAATTAGATAGTAAGGCAATGGCTTTAGTGAGTGGTAAATGTATTTTTTCAGGGTCATATGCAATAGTAGTGAAGTATTTAAAGGTAAACATGTTTGAAGACTGGATTGTTACTATAACGTTCTCTCAGATAGCCTCAACTCAGATATCAGTACCACGGACAGGACAGTTCAGAATTCTAATCATGAAGCTTGGCTTATGATTCAAATATGGGATTACCAACCGCTAGACCACATCATACCAGGGATATAGCATCATTACCCTTTCTAGGTGCTTTCCTACCCTTGTCTGCCATGGCTTTTCCGGGTCAACTGCTTCCAAACACACGTCATTAAAAGTTTGCAGAGCCTGACAACTTTTTCTGTGCATAGGCCTGCTGTAACTCCCCAGCCCCTGGCTAGAGGTTAAGGTTGTTAAGCAGAAATTAGCCTAGAAATAAGAAAAAAACTCTAGAGATTCTTGAGGTCAGAAAGGTTAAGTGTTCGATCAATGGGCGGGTTCAGGCTGGATTATTGATAAGCCCAATGTCAATTCAATTTGTCGGTTCTTAGCTTAGAAAAAATAACACTGAAGATCCGTGAAACCATGTCTCCAGGGGCCTTTTCCCCTGCCCACTTCATTGATTTCTGGCAAAAAATCTGAGAACCAACTTACCAAAAACAGAGGGCTTGGAGTAAAACCTGAATCCGACTATTTTGTTCTCTGAACCGGAATGCAGATTTAACCCTGGAGACATGTTAAATATTGGTATCATAGCTAACCTGAGTTTTTCATGTTTGATTCAGTGTTTATGACATGTTTGTCAACATACCTACTAACTGAAGTTTCCCTGTTTGATTCTGTGTTGATGATATTCTAGTCATCAGAGCTAACCTGAGTGTCCCTGTGTGTTCCAGCTGGATAATGCAGATGAGCAGGCAGCGCACATCAGGAGGGAGCTGGACGGGAGGTTGCAGGCAGCTGAGAGGATGGCAAGGGTGAGAACAACAGCTAAACTTGTTTGCATTTTTTACCGAGTTATTTATTCAAAATTACCACTTAAAATTAACTGATTTTTCTCCCTGTTGTTCATTCTACCAGCTAAAAGATATACTATTATTATTATTAGATAAAAAACGAAAAGCATTTTTTATCAAGATCCTCTTTTGTGATTTTAATTAAAACCTTTTCTTTCAGGTTGACAAAATTTTGGCACTTTCCACTAAGGTTTGACTCAAAATTTGTAGCCAAATTGAATATGATCCCAAACAGAAAGATTTTCCAAAAGATAACTAATGGAATTCACCTAGTATGTAAAAAAATGATTATCATCATGTTATTCAAGTTAGAATGGCTAACAATAAATGGCTAGGTATGACATGTTTGTGTTCAAGTTCTACAACTTTGCAGTTTAGGGGGTTTAAACCTTGGTTACAGAGAGTTGAAGAAGTCAGAGGGTAAGAAGGAATTATTCCCTGGATACGTCAGTCACTGGCAGGAAGATTATTCATTAATTTTTACTTTAAGTACATAATCATTTCAAAATGTACCAAAGGAATTACAGGGACATGACTGAAGATAGTTGTGATAGATGATGGAGTTGTTAACCAATCATCACATGTTACTCAGCACAGTCATTTATATGAAGTATATTGCTGGGTGTTACAGTATTTCAGTTTACTGCCCCGGAAATTGCTAGAATGAAACACAATCATCCCTGCAGGTTGGTGTGTCAGGCATTTTTATATTGGCATTCTGTACATTAAAGATAATACAACTTTTTTGTCAAAATGACAGGAGGAAAAACTGATAATAGATAGTACTAGTCTCTAACCTGTATTTTGGAGTTAGTTATACATGAGCTTAAGAGAACTTAAGGTGATTTGCTCCTTCAAAGGCACTGTTACCCAAGCAAGACCAAACCAACACATCATCTTGGTTTGTAGACATTTCAAAGTAGAAATTCATCAAAAAAGACGAGGTGAAAATAGAGGACTGGGAGGAAAAAAATTAAATATGACTAAATTATGTTCCCCTTAGACTCTGGTTTGCCTGTTAATTTAATTCTTTAACTCTGTATTCAGTTTTCAAAGTAAAGAACCAACAAATCAAATTGTTGTGGCCTAACAGGAGAGTCCACAGGTACTCAGTAACTATGAATCATGATGAGAGGTAAGTGACCTGAAGAACACTTACTAGCTCCCTTGGAAATGATCAATTTAATACAATGGGTCCAGTGGGAGGTGCACTTGCCCTGTGTTAGGTTTAGTGTGATGGCAATCAGTAAGAACTACTCTTTGTGGCCTCCAAGCTGTCAAAGTCATAATACAACCCTTTATCTCTGTCAGTGGGAAGTTAACGATTTTGAAGGTGTCAGAGAATTGGTATTGTGAGGGATATGCGAGGAGGGAAGTCAGATTCAAGTTTTCATCCTATTCATCTGTTTGCATCACTTCTTTTGGCTAAATTGTCTAGACTTTAAGCCAAGATCTAGGAACCAAGAAAATACACATTGTAAATTGTGACCTTTGCTTGCCTTCCATTGTAAAATGGTTGCCAAGCAAGAAAACAAACTGGCTACACCGCCACAATATTGAGATGCTGGGAGAGTCTACATTGTACATGGCTGTGGACATTACTGGAAGTTCTATTCTGGTCCATCTGCTTCTTTGGCACGTCGAATTACCTGCAGATGCAGCTGTTGAGTAATGAGAAACTCATCACACTTAGAGCTCTGCAAATAAGCGCTGCCAGAGTCATTTACACTTGCAATCAGGTGGTGAAATTGCCGTTGATACGAAAGTATTACCAGAAGGTACCAACCAAGCTCTGAATTAAAGCATCACCATTCGTTCTGTAAATTGGGTGGGAAAGAGTTGCTTGATCATGTCAAATGTAGTAACGAGTTGCTGAGGCCATATCAAATCAATTGGTTGATTCTTGGATTTAGCAGCGCTGATTCTGAGCTAAAAAAACAACAACATAAAACTGAGGAGAACAGTTTCTGGCCAGAAGTTGTTAGTTTTTACATTATTTCTTTATTAATCTGATGTGACTAAATATACATGTAGATAGTCACATCCTAGTTTTCTTCTCAGCTCTCTATTTTTATCGTAGAAATCGTTCCACGGAAATAAATTGGTGTGGCCTATGGAGATATTTCACTTGAAAAGTTAATAAGATTTTCCAAGTCTCAAGATACCACTGAGGATTAAGTTGCCCTTTTTCCTGTCCTATTCTATGCTGGATATGGATAAAGATTATTACTTTCTTTTGGGCTG